CTACTCGTCGTTTCACTAAGAAAAACTGATGTAATCAAACTGGAGAATCTTTAGAGCCGCTATTACGGTTCTGAATTGGCACCTCTGCGCACTATCGGATGACGCGCTTAATTATTTGTGTACGCAATCAGCAATGAAATCGTTGTGTAAGTGTTGCATGCAAGTTAGGTGCCTATCGAGGCGTCCGCTCCGCACCTGAGCGGGCGGTCTCCGTCTGGCGCGGCGGGGGCTTGTAGTCGAGGACGACGTCGGGGAAGTGGGGGTCGGTCGCGCAGCAGTGGGCGCAGTCCGCTGAGGGGGAGTGGTGGGACGAGGAGGCTTGGTGGTGGTGGTGGTGGACGGGCTGGTCTCGGAGCGAGAGCGCGCGGGGAGGGGCTGGAGGGGGAGGGCGAGGCGCGCGGGGGCGGGGCGCCTCGGGGGCGCCCCCGGGCGGCTCCGCTGCGACATCGCGCGCGCACGAGCCACAGCCTTGGAAGGGTTGCGGGGTTGTGCCACGGGCATTACGCAGACGATCTTCGAAGTCGACGGACGGAGGACGATCGAGGAGACGAGGCGGAGGAGTTTGCCGAACGTGGAGTAGGAAACGCGGCGCGGAGCTCCGAGCCGCGACCCATATGCTGCTTGTGCTCGGCAGCGCTTGAGTATCAGGCGCGCTCGACCGCATAGCTTCTACGCGCCGCCGCCAGGCGATAATCGGCCGCCCACCGGCAACCCCACGCGGAAGAGCACGGTGCACATCGAACGTCGTCTGGCACGCGCAGCGGGACGCCCATGTCGCCGCACAGGGCCTGACGCCGCACGGCGGCGCCGTGCTCTCCCTAAGGTCCTTGCAACTACTCCGTTTCCTAAGGAAAACCCCTGATGTAATCAAACTGAGAAACTTTGAGCCGCATTCGTTCTGTTGGACACCTAGCGCAACTATCGGATGACGCGAGTACCCACTAAATTCAAATGGAATAAGAGGTGTATGCAAATTCATGTTCATGCAATTACTTTACTTACATAGTTGCTTAAGAGTTGGTTTGTAATACGGAGTCAATTCTTTTGTATAATTGTTGGCCTAAATTCAGAGTTCTTATTAAATACCACGCTGCAACAATTCCACAGCGTGTTTATTTGTTTCTGCACTTTTGCCGTTTAGCAAGGATTCAGGGGCGTTCTTTATAAGGTTCACAGGTTCACGCAACACTAAAATTTGCCAAAATAAAAACACTTACTTTTATTACAATCTCATTTAATAGTCGACTTTTTCTCTCTTCTTTTTTTAATTCCATACAGTATTACATTGCGCACACGATGTCACTACTTTCTGTTCACGATTTTTTACATCGGATTTTTCTTAGGTGAACGGATAGTATTCGAACGGATAATTCAGCGAGCCGAAGAGAATTCAAGCAGGTGCTGCTCAGTAGTTTTCGTCGTTCTCCATCAATATCAGGCGAATGCCGGGAGCAGAGCTAATACCGGGCCATGGATCGCGCGCGATGTTCCTTCTTTTCCTTGCCCTTTCTCCTTACTTCATCGTTATACACTACCAAATCGATAGTGCTCCGGTGAGGGGGATACCTCGAGACGGGAAATCTCCGCAAACTGACGTGTAGATTCGCGCTGATCTCACATCCAATGGGAAAGACCACACACACTTCACAGAATAAAACATTCACTACATACCCAGGACAATGACCATGGCAGAGACATTCCGGAAAACATCAATCAATACATAATTGCAAGAGTTCCCCCAACATCTCACCCGCTGCCTTGAGGTTGTCTAATGTGACGTCATGGATACTCACAGCCGCAACAGACACAGAGCTTTCGTATAAACAATTATTTTTTAACAAAGAAACAAAAACATATATCTACTTAATAATCTACTTACCCTAGCTCTGATAGACCTACTATCCCTGATCGCGGGAGCGATCCAAACCCGATTGAAGATGTTTTTGATGTGGCATTCGCCACTCCTACTTTTGAAAGCGCGCACAAAGCCTAGCTTCCGTGACGGATGTCACGCTGGGAAACAAGTCGTTTCTGGCGCACCACGGCTGGTTTGCCTCGATCGCAGGAGCGTCTTATCCGATGAGAATCGGCGTGAATCGTGGCACTCAACCACTCTTCACCGGCGGAGCACGCACACAGGCATCGCTCCCCGTGGACCGGGCAGTCACACACAAGCATAAAGTCCGCAGGCTTCGTCAACTATGATCAGAGCTGGAGCCTGGCTCGCATATGCACCGTTCGGCGCAAGTTTTGTGCACAGCGGATTCCGCACGACGGTTCTCTCGCCCCTTCCAGAACCCCCCAACACCACACTGTTATAAGGCGAGGCCACGTGACCTAATCGTCACGCCACCCCCTCGCTTGTTATAACAGTGAAAAGGCCCGATGACTCCCAAGACTTGTGTCTCCCGATTTCGCGATTCTTACCTTTACGGAAAACCTTCTTCTGTGGCTAGGCTAATCCTCTTCCAAGCGTCCCCAAATAGATGCCATGAGGCACGCTGGCTAATACGTTACACTAACCTGTCATTATGATTTCTGAGCAATATGGGCACATGTTATATCACGACGCGGGTAACGATTTTAGTCCAAAGAGACACCGTCTTTAGGTTAGGGCTGCTCAAAAGCAAGAATTCGATTTAGATTGTTACAGTGGCGGCCTGCTGTAGTTGTCTGCCCGCCAGTCACCGTTCGCTATGCTAGTGCTGAGTAGCCCTAGCGACTCCTCTCAGTAAGGTTCTACTATGCATCAGCCACTGCACATATCCTGGCCCATGTCTGCTTGTCACATGAATCACGTGTGACTGAAACGAGACCCCTTGCTGTATTCTGATCTAGTCGAAAGAGACGCCAGTACATGGCAGTTTAAGGGAGGACTCTTCTCCTGTCCCCTGAGACTTACGTGTTCTCTTATGGCAAAGGGCGCTGTAGAACGGGCAATAACTATATGAGAGGGGTAGACACAGAATCCTCTCCGGAGCGATTTCGATTGTTTTCGCAGCTTGAAAGCACGCCAGGTTTAAAACTCAATAGAAGTCCCATTCCTTTTGGCTATCAAGTAAATCAATATACGTGTTCCCTCAATCATCAAAATAATTACACTATTTGGTAATTACATTCTAAAGCAGATCAAGAGAGCAGGACTTTCCTTCCTGTCCTCTTCTGAGAATGTGCCACTGATGCTCAAACAGTAATGAGAAGGTGAAAACATACAGGCAATTTCAGGAAGATGCGATATTAAAAGTTACTTCAGAGAGGAAAGTGCTGAGGAAACGCCAGGAGGAGCGGAGGCAGCGGGCGGCACTGCGCATGCGTACTTGCGTATAAAGCGACCTCCCGGCGCAAACACCACCATGTACTGCTCCTTTTTCTCCTTCTCTGCTTTGTCCGGCTTGTACAGCGGATGCTTCGAGCACCTGCATCAAAGCAGTTGTTTTGTTTCTCTTCAGCTCTAGAAGAAACTGTAATTGAAACTGAACAATATATTACTTAGATTTCCTTGTAACCTAATATGTTTCTCTCGTTGGTCTGAAAGAAAATTATTAACCAACATTAGCCAACATTCCACTAATCTGTAATGTTCTTTTAAAATTGCATTAATATTTCTCTACACAATGTCTCGGAATAAATTTTACAAACTTCTAGTGCGTTTAGGGGGTCGAAGATGACCATGTTGTCCAATGAATATGTGATGGGAAATCTCATATAAAACTTGTTACACTTGTGATATTTGCTCAGATATGGACTGCAAGCAGCTCAGAGGCTTTCGTAGGCTTTCACGCCCGGAGTCAAAATCAGATAAATTTTCCGGGCTGGTAGCCTGTGGTCTAGTTTGCTTTGAAGGGCCAAACGTTTCATCTATGACCTGCAACTACATACGTTCCAAGTGATATGAACGCTCTTAAAAATCCTGTGACATTCGTTGTACAGTGTTCAAGGTTATACGGCCAACAAATTTAAACTAATCGTCCAATATCTCAAACGAACGGACATTTTTATTCGAAATTTTGAGGAAACATCTACTTGTTGACTTTGCCTTGCAATCAGAACGTCTTAATTAAGGAGGTAGATAAACGTCTTTAATACAACCATTTTGAACCCGAGATCAGCCGAATGTGAAGTAAAAAACACGCGCTGCTTTGATAGTTATCTAAGCTGTCAGGTTTCTTCCGCAAAATCTATGTAAGGTCATTCAAAACACTAGGAAGAATATGGCCTAATGTTGTTGCGAACAGTCCGTGTTTGCAGACAGTTTTGTAGCTCACAGCTAGTAAATCTACTCCTTAGAAAGCTGCTTGCAATGTGGAGTAGATTTTATATTCAGCCAACACCTACCATCTTTAGTCGATAATTTAAGAAATAATATTAATTATAATAATGATAATGCAGCACAAAGTTGTAAATAACTATTTCATTTCGAATTTTCCAGCACAGACATTTTGTCTCCTCCTCCAAATTAAACTCAATGTTACTCAAACGCTAATGTCTTCACCTTGTATTTATGGCAAGGAAGGCAAAGAGCATTCGACCATGTCCTGTCATTTATCATTCGCCATTTCGTATATTGCAGGTTTACCGAAGTATTATATGTATACCTGCACGTATTCTTGAGCTCTGGAATACATACCCCCACTCCTTTACTAAGATTAATTGAATTAAGAATAAATATTAGCGACGAGCGTTCTGCACACAATCTCATTATTAGATATATTCGCTCCGATGTAATAAAAATTACTTTACATCGCAAAACGACACAATGGCCCTGTAGTCGAAATAACAGTCCTGTCGTCGACATTACCAAACACCCAATCCTTTCGCATCTAGCAAAACGAGGGCTCAAGACAACGTGCGCGGGTAATACTAATTGAGTTAAATATTATTTTCAAACGTACAGCCCAGGAGAAGATTAAATAAGTACATACACGGAAATCGTGCGCCCATGACTCTTCATGTGGCTCGGCTGCCACGTTTCTTTCACTACGCGTCGAGATTCTTTCCGGGAGTTCTTCGTTAAGGTGGCCTCGCGAGCGCCTTCATTTGAGCGGTGGGTTTTCACCGAAGCGCTGTGTGTTTCTTGCGTCGTTTCCAGGCTGCGCTGCACGACGCCTCGCGCTGGCCCGGCGGACGGACGATGAGCGGCTGTCCGCCGCGCTGATAAACGACCATGCTTCTGCTGAGCGTTGGGGTCCGACTGATGCGGCTTGGGGTGTTGAGGTGGTTGAGGAGAGTCGTCTGCAGCGACCTCGGAATCGGGAAGCTCTGACAAAGATTCTGTAGTGTCGTCTGACTTGTGTTCATCGTCATCTGACCCCGAAGACTGTCCAAGGTCGGAAGATTCATTGCGATTCTCTGGTAAATGCTTATAGTATGATGACGAATATTTGCGTGACTTGTGTATCGAAGAACCATTACTACGATGATGAGACATGGCGGATGCACTGGAAGAAAATAATATTTTAAATTGTATTTGCGAAAAAATATAATGCATTTCCTGCTCATTTATTTCAATTATTAAAGGTTATTGTAGTAAGCTTATATTTTTTTACGTAACACATAGATTCATACTTCTTCCAAGCCAATAACATTTATTTCAATTATGAAAGCTTCTTGTTCGTATAAGCAATAACATGTGCATTGTGGGTTATCCATTCATAACGCAAGGCTCTCAACTTACAGAGCAAGTACTCATGTATGTATTTGGCATTTTGGGTCGATTGTCCGACTTTTCCTGCCAGCTAACGGTGCCACAATGATTGGGCCTTGTTTAATTTCCACGATTGGGGGTTAAGAGAGACATGCGGCGAACACGACATATTCCCTTCCCCGTAACTAGCCAACTCCGCCGGATTAGGTTTTCTTACTTCACACAGCTTCAGAAACTGAGAGGATTTTAAAGGAAAGCTACCACTCTACTTTTCCCCTGCGGGCGCCGGAGTAGCTCACCCTTATTTAAGCTGTCACCTTAACCTTAAACCTTAAAGTGTAGTGCAGTGAAGTACGAATGAATGGTTATGTATATAATGAAACTAGTATGAATGATGTGTGAATGTAGAGAAAAATAAAAAAAAAATATCTCACCCGTATAATAACAATTTCCGTAGCATTATAGTATTAACAAAACTGATCTTAGTGTAAGTTAGTAATGCCAAAGTGCAATTAAGTTAACTTCAGGTCTAGAATGTAAAACGTAGCTGTAAGAAAAAGCCCCTCCTCTAGCTGCTTAAGCCGCAAGGCAGCAGTTTAATATACATAATTTAAAGAAAATAAATTCCCCTTCTCCACAGGGTTACTGTGGAGGGGCCAAAAGAAGAGTAGCTCACCCACATCGCCCCACCGCGCACCTACCTCGAAGCACGGCTACATTGCGAGGCCGCTACCCGCGCGTGGGCGGGCGAAGAAAACAAAGAAAAACCCACTGTGAAGATGTTCGCGAGATCTGACAGAAAGACCAAGAACCATTTGCCCAAATTGTTTTGCAACACCCAAACTTTGTTCAATTATTTTGCTTTGACAATTCAATTACATTCTAATAATTTTCTTTTTTCTTGTGTGTTTATGAATATTAATGTATTTTTTATACTTGTATTAAATTTCTTTACTTTAACCGTAAGGAAGTAGTATATAAAACTTATCATACTACTGATTTTATTTAATACTCTTTTCATTGCAAATATTGCGTCCTGAGAACTATTCTCTATCTTGGGTCTGTGAGACCCCGCAGCACAGCCGAAGGCCAAAGGTTCGCGCGCCCCCGCAGGCCCCGCCTCTGCGACGCGGCGGGGCGCGGCGGGCAAGGAGGCGAGCTGCGCGGCGGCGGCGGTGGCGGCGCGCCGGCGCGACGTGAGCGGCGGCGGGCGTGCCGCGACGGCGACGCGGTGCTGGACGCGGCGGCGGCGGCCGGCGCGCGCGCGCGCGCCGGCGGCGGCGGGCCTGCGCGGGTACGTCTGTCTCCGATGTGACCGGCAGGGGAACAATG